TTTTTTTTTTTTTTTTTTACTTCTAAGCTTGCCTAGTAGGAACTTGGCAGGAGTCAGAAGACAAAGACTGTCATAAAATGCTTCTCATTGCTTGCTTGGTGGTGCCTTGTATCTGCCTGAAGTTATGAGTGTTTCTGGGTAATTTTGAATTCAGAAGTGCCAGGATACAGGTAATTCTGCTTTCAGAGCTGCCATCCTACCAGTAATGCTGCAAGTTACCCACCATCTATGAACACTCTGTGGCTTGGGTGCCAAGGATGTCTGTCTGAGAGCTCTAACAATATCAAACCTGTGTATGGTGGTACCTAGCCATGTTCTCAGAGAAACTGTATGCAGCAGCCATTGCTTTTTGTAGAAAACTGTCCTTTTCTGATTATCCAAGTAGAATAATTGGAGAGAATTGTTTTGTGGGCTTGGTTTGGTTACTGACAGTCATATGCCCTGCATATTAAAGCTAATCTATAAACAGGTGTCAGAGACCTGTGAGGAGAAGCTCAAACTAAATTATCAATTGAAAGTGAGAGTCATAGAATTAAGTCTTTCATCATGGTCTTCAGTTTTCCTGTGATTTTGTTAACTTCCTCTGTAGGAAAAGGAACTATCGATGTGAAAACTGTGTTTAAGTCATATGTGTCTTTTCGTTACATGTTTAGAATCCTAAGGAGAAAGGACAGGGGGTTTTCTATTCAAGAGGAAAAGGAGATGGGGAAAAAGGTGAATTTCATGAGCCAAGCAATGTATAGGAAGCAAGTGACATCCTCTTGAAGCCTAGGATTTTGATTTGTTGTGAGGTATAGGTGTGACTTTATTCTTTTTAGCACTATCAATTAATTTTTAGCAATATCCATTAATCCAGGTAAACTGTATGAAATCTACAGAAGGATAAAAATATTCATACTCAATAGCGTTTCCAGGAGTGCTTCAAGAATTAATTAATACCTTGTTTTGTGCAGTGTGCTGTTATGCAATTAGCTTTTGTATCATGGCTTGCTACTTTTTAAAATGCACATAGCAGTTCTTTGGCTGTGCTTCAAAGGGACATTGCCGACCACTGGTAACTTTTTGCATGCTGACTTAAATGGAAGGATCCTGCATCAGGTTTTCCAGAGCTGAAGCCCTTATCTCCTTCTGTGACTGTAGGAACATATGAGCCCAACACTGACTGCTCAGTGTCTGCAACCTGCAGTCTGAGGTCTGTGAGTTTAACCTCAAGTCTTTGTGGTGTAAATGTCCTGAAACTGCGAAAATAACAACGTGAGGATGTGTTTTGCATAGTAGATGTAGCAGCATAGTTTGCAGACCATCAGCAGTATTTTCTTGACTTAAAAGTGACATCTAGCATAGCAGTGCTTGTTTATAACAAAGGGGAAAAAATTGTGCTTGGTTTAGTTTGGCTCAAGTAGAGGTATGAAAAAGGAAAAGGAGAAACATCTGCAACTGTTACAGCACGTTTGAATTTAAATAAAACCAGATAAGAGCAAGGAACAGGAAGCTTTCTTCTTTAAATAAAAGGAAAAACTCACAAACAATCAATAAATCAAATTGTAATGGGCAAGTGTGTGTGTTTTTTTAAGGTACATTAATTTTATAAGAGAACACTGAAAGGAATGAAAATAGCCATTTCAGATTAGTTGTAGAAATTATTATGCTGAGGTGTTTTTTTTCCCCCCTTTGAGCTCTGCCAAGCTGCTAGGAAAGTCCAGATCTGTTGCTGCTGTCTCTCTGTTGGGAGCGAGGTTGGTCAGCCAGCAGAAACGCGCGCAGACCCGGGTGCCCGCGGCGGCGGCGGCGCCGGGCGATGGATGCGGGCGATGGATGCGGGCGATGGATGCGGGCGATGGATGCGGGCGATGGATGCGGCTGATGGATGCGGCTGATGGATGCGGGCGATGGATGCGGGCGATGGATGCGGCTGATGGATGCGGGCGATGGATGCGGCTGATGGATGCGGGCGATGGATGCGGGCGCTGCCCGGAGCAGCGCGAGGCGGGTCTGGAATCCCGAGGCTCCGCCCGCGCCCTTTCCCCCACTTCGCTGGCGCGCACGTGGCGGCGCAGGAATGCAGCGAGGGGAAGCGCCGCGGCTGGGGATGGAATCGCCTTCCAGGAGCAAAACAAGTGCTCAGAGCAGCGGCCTCCGGGAAGCCTTTGGTGTTCAGCCATCACAGTCAGGGCAGCTTTGAAGGCTTATGGTTTTCCTAAGTAAAGGAAAAGAATATGAAAAGGAACAAGCCGTGTCATTGTTGCACGTCTTAACGTCAAGCAGTACAGTGCTAGAACTGGGCTGTATTTGTTTTCAGGGCTCGTTTGCTTTAGTCAGGATTAATTCCTGCTGGATTAATTATTTTTTTTCATTTGGGAATCAGGAAAATATTCCTTAATGAAGCTTATTTATTTTTATGAGAATGCTGAATTTTAATTTATTAAAATGTCAGGTTGACTGTTAATGCTTGATGCTACTTAGAATATATATAATATAATAACACAGGGCTTGTGTTAAAGCTTTTAAAACTGTTGTTCAAAGCTGGTTTGTGTTCTTCTAATTTGTTCTTCTTTGTTATTCTAATCAGACTCTACACACATAAATCAATTGCATGCTATCTGTAGGATACTCTGAGCTTTAGGTGCCTTGATTCACCCAGCATCCAGCTTCTAAAACCTGAACAGTGGCTGATGGATTTGCAAGACTTGTGAATTACCATTAGGCAATAGTTGTGTTGCAGAAGCGGATCACTGTAGGCTGGTCCAGCAGCAGGCACATTAAGTATTGCAAAGAATCCATGCCTGTTGGTCAACAACCTTAATAGATGACATGCAGCAGCACTTACATCATTCATATCTGCCGAGTATTCCTTCTCTTTCCATATTGTGTATTTTTTTCCTAAGCCTACTGTTATTGCTGCATTCCAAGTGCCTGGTTGTCTGCTCCTGCACCTTGGCGCCCATTCTTTGTGTTTCGGATTACTTTGATTAAGTAGAGTATTGACAGACTAGAGAAGGAGCACTCTAGTCATAATGAACTGCTTTTGAAATGCCCACCTAAATTACACTGGTTAGTCCTCAGGTGCTGTTCAACAGGGGATGAGAGTCTACCAGACTTTAATTACTAGCTTTAGGTTTGCAAACAAAATGTGAATTTTAGCTTTTAGGACTTTAAAAAGGTTAAAGTAGTTGTACTTCTTTTGATTTTGCTTACATAGAAATGCCCGTGCAACTTTAAAACCCTTGGTATTAATAATGTGTTTTTTACCAGTGAAAATCTCAATCTAAAACTTGACCTTGAATCCTGACCTACAGATGGGGTAATAAATTCCACTACTATTTAGTCATACTTCTAGGAAGATACTGTTTTTGTGGCTATGCATGAAAGTTTTGGTAAGCTAATAAATTAAGTTGGACAAGAGACTGAATTTGGAATCATGATGGTCTCTATTATACATAGAGTCTCTCTGCAAAAATCTACTTTCTAATTGTAAGTGCTCAAAATCATTTTTCTGAATCAATTATTAGTAGGAGTAACTTCGAGGATGTTTATGTATAATGCTAATTACGGGAACAAAGAAAAGCTATAGAATTACCAACAAGTTTAACTAAGGACAGGTGCCAGATTCTGCATTTGTGTTGGGGCAACCCTGGATGTGTGTTCAGATTAGGAAATGAGAGGCTGCAGAGCAGTACCACAGGAAAGGGCCCTGGGGTCCTGGTCCATGGGAAGTTGGATCTGAGTCTGCAGTGCCCTGGCAGCCAGGAGGGCCAAGCCTGTCCTGGGGGCATCAGGCACAGCTGGGCAAGGGAGGGGACTGTCCCCTCTGCTCTGCACTGGGGCAGCCTCACCTCCAGTGCTGGGGGCAGTTTTGGGTGCCACAATATGATAAAATACATAAAGCTCTTAGAGTCCAGAGGACTGTGAGGATGGTGAAGGGTCTAGAGGGGACAGACGATACAAGGAGCAGGTGAGGTCACTCGCGCTGCTGAGCCTGGAGAAGAGGGGACTGAGGGAAGTCCTCATTGCAGTTACAACTTCCTTGTGAGGGAAAGAGAAGTGGCGCTGATCTCTGCTCTCTGGTGACCAGTGCATGGTCAGGCATGAAGCTCTGTTGGAGAAGTTTAGGTTAAGTATTTGGAAGAGGTTTTTCACCCAGAGGATGATTGAGCACTGGAAGAGGGTCCCAAAGGAAGCGGATGCAGCCCCAGACCCGACAGAATTCAAGAGGTGTTTGCACAACACAACTCTCAGGCACATGGTGGGATTCTTGGGGCTACATTGGGTTTACATTTCTGTTTTAACTTCCAGTGGTTTTGGTTTGAGTCTTTTGTGGCTGCTCAGTATAATTGCCTTCTGTCTATATTGGCATGGTTGTTGATACTTGTTTGGGCAGTTAAACTGAGCTGCAAATCCATGAAATTCCATCATAGTTTCAGATTTCTTTGGGGAGGTAATTTTTCTGACAGTTGTGATTTGGTTTCCTCAACTCTGCACAGTTTTGATTTTTGCAGTTATTTGCCAGTCACAGCACAGAGCCACGGGGACTATAGCCTCTTATTGCTTTGAGTAATCATATTGAAATTAGGATATGGAAGAAATTTTGGCAGAAGATATGGCCAGAAGTGGCTTTACTTTTCTAGCTGAGGTGAAAACTTTAGATACCTTTTGTTTTAAATAAAACATTTCCTGAATGTTCTTTGAAATGTAAGATGCTCTGTACCCGTCATATGATTTTCTAAATGCTTTGGCTTTCACTTTCTGTTCTGCTCTGATTTTTTTATGTGTTGTGTGTATAGGTGATATGCAGCTATCTGTGATGCTGCCAAAATGCCTGAGTTACACAAGTGTTTTGTTTCCTTTTGCAGCTGTTTTGGTTAAAAGAGGTGCCTTAAATTAACCTTCAGGACACTCAGACTGAAGTGCAAGCAGAACCTGTAAAGGAAAAGGCAAGTACTATAAAATTTTCATACTTGGAAATCTTTGCTAAAATCATGGCAAAGATTTGCCTTATCTTGCTAGAAGTGGACTAGGTCCTAGTTCCTCTGAACAAGAAGGAAATACTATTTCTAAACTTTATTTTTTGCCAGAACTCTCTGTGAAAATGGCGGAAGCTCATCAGGCAGTAGCTTTTCAGTTTACAGTCACTCCCGATGGGATTGACCTGCGCATGAGCCATGAGGCACTCAAACAGATTTACCTGTCGGGTGTCTATTCATGGAAGAGGAAGTTCATCAGATTCAAGGTATGCTAAACTAGTCCAGTCCACCAAACTTCTGGGTTATTTAATGTTTTATTAATTTATTCAAGTTTTTTTAGGGAAAACTTTTTTTTCCCTTTATGGTAAATACGGTTTCTCATTGTGAAAGATTTAGGGGGTTTTATTTAAGACAAGGGGTACTGAGGAAGGTGGCACAGGATGATACTGTAAAGACTGATAGGGTACATACTTCTTATTTATTCTATGGAAGCAAGATGAAGCAGATGTAGAAATCAACTGACTTCATTCTCTTCCTAATGCACCACGTAATAATGTAATCTTTTAGCAGAAGTCAAAAGTACAACTAGCTGTGATCTTTAGTGTCATATGTCTTAGAGGTACAAGGCTACACTATTATAGCTAAGTAGTATTGTTTCTGATGAGGTATTTGATGAAGATTGTTTTGTTCATGGGATTATAATGTACATACCTGTTTCATTAGTAGCAATCTACATAAACTACAGATTATCTTCAACATCTCTTTCAAAAGCATAAACATATTAACAGAAATCTTATTACAATTTTCTTAAAAAGCTATGAGAAGGACTGTTTAAATTGTATAAAAAAAGTTAATTCTGGTTCTCAGTGTCTTGTTTGGTAGGATATTTTTGCCATGTATTCATGTAGAAGGGTCTAACTCAGTGTCAATTGAAATTATCGAAGTGTCATTTGTTTTAGAGTTGATAGTTTCAGTATTTTTAGTAAGACTTGCAGCAGGATCAGTGGTGTCTACAAGGGAATGTAAAGTTCTTTTCATTGTTGATATCGTTGTTACAATTTTCTGTAATAATCAAACTTAAGTAAATCCATTCCCTACTGCTGAGATAATCTCATGTAAGAAAATGATGGATAATCTTAACTACTTTTTTATAACTAAGTGACTTAAATGTTTTGATTTTTGTTTCTTTCCATGGTAATATGAAGTCAGTCACTTTGGTATGAAAAATTATGTGAAGGCTTTTCTTTCCAGAATGGAATTATCACCGGTGTTTACCCTGCTAGCCCATCTAGCTGGCTTATTGTAGTTGTGGGTGTGATGTCAACCATGTATGCTAAAATTGATCCTTCCTTAGGAATAATAGCCAAGATCAACCGAACACTTGATACAACGTAAGTAGACTGAAATGTTGATGTTTCTCTAAAGGGAAATCAGTTTTATTTGCAGCTACTCTTAAAGCTATTCCCATTAAATTGTATCAATTTTGGAACAGTATGTTTGTGACTTGACAAGCCAAATAAACACCTGTATGAGGATATGAAATAGGGAGGTTGTACCAGTATTGCTGTGTAGTTCTAGGTATTTGGGAACTTTTATGGCCTTTGATGTTGCTGCATGAAAGGGTGTTTGGAAAGGAATTTATGAAAGCAGGTTAAGCAGGCATAAAGTTTGTGTGAGGCCTGTCTGTACTACTATTAGACTTATGTTTGCAGTAGCAGCTTCTCTTTGGAACTTAAATGGACACTAACTGGCATATGCTGTCTTTTGTTTTAAATAGTGGCTATATGTCAAACCAAACACAGAACATTGTGAGTGGAGTACTTTTTGGCACAGGGCTTTGGGTTGCCCTTATCGTCACAATGCGCTACTCCCTGAAAATGCTGCTCTCCTACCACGGTTGGATGTTCTCTGAATATGGGAAAGTTACTGCTGGCACCAAGTTTTGGATGGTAAGGATGTGTTTGCTTTGTTTCATCTTAACTTCTAACTGATGAGTATTCAAAGCCTTAAAAGAAAATTTTGTAGTTTCATTTCTTTCTTGTGTTTTTTGTGTCATGGGACAGGAGGCTGTTAGGTAGCTTTTTCTACTGTGACCCTTCCAATGCTGTAATGAAACTATTCATTGTGGCTTTCTAGAAGGAAGAGTAAACACTTCAAGAATAATTTCTAAATGGTCCAACGCCTTGGGCCTGTGTGACTTAATACCTCCTTTTTCTCTATGTGCAAGTACAGTTGAGGAGCTTCAGCTGCAGCACCAAAGAATCTTGTCCTCACAGAAAGTGCTCCCCTAATTCTTTGTTGTAATGTTAGGATTTCTAGTCATCTATTATAAGATTATTCTTATGCTTGAAGAAAATACTGCTGAGTGTTCTTTCAACCAATTTATTGGTAAGCCTCCAAAATGAGTTGGGGAAGAAGCATAAGGCATAGGTAGCGTGTTAGGCAGTTTTCACATAAGGATAAGGTGAGATTAGTATGTCTCCTGTGGATTGTTGTGATGCTTTGGAAAAGGATGCTTAAAAGATATGATAGGTATAAAATGAGGAAACAGATGTCTTGCAGCATTGTGCTGCAAGAGATGAAGTGAGGTTTTGCTACTTGGACTCGGTTGTTTCATTTCACTTTTATCTGTCTTGTAGTAGAAATAACTTCATTTCTATACTGTGATAAAATTAATCCCCGAGGCCTCAAAAATTAACAGATGTGTGTTAAACTAAGCACAGGTCATGATTTACTATGGGAGCTATTCAAGGATAGGTATCCCGAATGGTGTACACTAAAGTAGAGTTTAATGTTTGTCTGGTACAAATGAAATTTCTAATTGATGGTTTCTCCTGGAAGCGGTAGCAGCCTCATGACCCAAACTGGTACAGTCCAGGCTCTGAATGGTAAGGCTTTCTTTAATTGCTTGGAACTGTAGCTGCCTTGGTTTTCAGCATGTCCTACCAGATAGATACTTCAAAACTCTTAATATTGCCTCATCAACCTTAAAACAGTATGAGCTGTAATGCTACTTACCATGCTTTGTTGCCTATTGTATTTAGCAATTTTTGTCTATCATATATGTTACATATGTATTTTGTTGTGTATTGTATATGCTTTAAAAGTGCAGAAGACTGAAGTTGTAAGGCCAGCAGTGTCTCATCTATACCTATTATGAAGGTGTATTTAACTAGACCTAGCAAAAGAGAAGACTGACTTCACTAGTGAAACAGCTCCAACTACCCTAGCTTTCTAGATTTTTGTAATGCTGTTGTCTCTTCAAATGATCGTGCAGATCAAAAACCTGAACTCTTAATTTCAGTCACAGTACAAAGTGATTTTTCAGACTAATTGGAAGTCTGGTAGCACTTTTAATCAGCATATTTCACCTTGTAAAATCAAATTTCCTGTATCAGTGTTAGGGGAAAATCCAAATATTAGTTGCCATTTTAAAAAATAAATTAAAACGTGGTAATTGTATGTGAAGGGATGCAACATATGTTAGAATGACATTATTTGCTATGTCTGCATATGAAATCAGAGTTGTAATGAAATGTGGGTGTCTGTCAAAGCACTTTATTGGTCTCAAGCTATTATAAATTCTCTATTGCCAGTTTTCTTTAGAGATAAATACTGTGAAATGTATTTGCTGGTTTTTGTCAGTTGAGCAGGTACTCTCTTAAAACAATTTTAGCCTTTTCTGGCTTAAGAGTTTCGGAATAAAATTGTCTCCAAGTATGAAATTAAATTTCCAGATGAAAAGCTAAGCTTTTTCTTTCCCACCTATTTCCAAAATTATCTTGTCCTGAAGTACAACTGGATTTCATTGGCAGACCACTGTGGTGCATCCCATGTACATCTGATGGCTGTGATACAGATCCTTTTGCAGGGAGGTCTTTGTTGCTGGTAATACTCTGAAATTGTTAGTTGTTTTGTGCTGCCTAAAACTGTCTGCTCTAGCTGTGCTGACCCAGAAAGCTGAGGAAGGAAAAGCTTTGCATTCTAACAGGTTTGTTAGGAGTTTCCAGAATTTAGTAGTGAAATGACATCCTCTGTTTTATTCTATCTTGTCTGTTTGCTTATATATACTATCCTGTGTATTGGACCAAAATTACACTCTGACAGTGAAAGTTCCACTGAGTTGTTGGAAAGTCAAGTCACTTGACTTTCACGCTGAAATAGGGTAGCATTGTCAAAATCCTTCCATGAATAGCCAAGAAGTTGCATGGTCTAGAATTTCAGCTTAGCGTGTGCTGCAACTGAAAAGTAGTGTTGGACAGAAAAGCTGCTTCTGTTTTCACTCTCCTGTGGAACACAGGAGATTTTCTAATATCTGAAGCTAAGTTCTCTCTGGCTTTTTTGCTTCATTGCTGGGGTTTTTTTTTGTAACACAAGCACTGAGTGTAACACTAGCATGCCTGCACAATTTGGTATGTTCAAATCATGCAGTAGACTACCTGAGATTGATTCATGCTTGAATTAATTCCCTGTAGCATCGATCCTATTATTGATGTTGAACTGTAACTTTGGAAAACATTAAACTGTGATACAAAAGCATAATTATTATTTTTAAAGATTACTGTAGTTACCTAGAAACCTTAGCTGAGTCAGAGGCTTGATGATAATTGTATTTTGAAGCACAACTTAGATATGTTTCTTGTGTGTACTATGTAATATAGTAAAAGGTCACCTGGTAGACGTGAGTTTTTTAATCTTCCCAGAGGGGAATATATGAAGAAAAGAAGTGCTAAGTAACTGTATTTGTATTGAGATCAAGGTGTGCCCTACATAAATAGCAGTATTGTCTGTGACAGGATGATGACTGGGAAGTCAGAAGTGACCATGCCTATCTTGCTCATCCAATGCCATGTTGTTTAACCTTTAGGAAATTAGTTTCTGTCAAGGCCTTTTATCTTACTTGTGAACCTGTGATCAACAGGGCAGCTTCCTAAATCTAGCACAGTACAATTTACCAGTGAAAAGGACTGGCAGTTACATTACACATTTTACTCTGTTATTTTTCTTCCATTGAACCTAATAATGTGGTGTGTGTATTTTGTTTTTGCTTTTCTTCAGACCCTTGTAAAACTTTTCTCAGGGCGTAAACCCATGTTATACAGCTTCCAAACATCTTTACCACGATTGCCAGTTCCAGCTGTTAAAGACACAGTTAATAGGGTATGTAAAATTATTTTCTTCAGTAACACAAGAGTCCCTACCTAGATGCATTTTGGGGTGTTTTTGCCATGCCTCATGAAAAACTTTGTAGTGGTATTAATGTGGTGTAACAGATTCAAACTTCATGGAAATGAAAATAAAGGCTGTGACAAACCAGTGAAACTGGAGGCAGTTTGAAGCCAGTGTGATTCACACTGGATGACATGATGCCTGTTGTAAGGCTGTGCCACAACCTGTGATTTCTAGGGTGTTTGAAGCACACTTTTTGCTCCCCACTTGTACAGTGTTATTAAATGTGTGTGTTACAACACAAAACCGTGTAGCAAAGTGGGTAAATATGGCAGTATGTCACAGAAACTGAAGGTTTGGTTTTTCGAAGAGAAAAAAAAATCTGTCTGCTGCTGAAGAAGCAGCATGCCTTACCCTTTGCAGTGGGAAATATTTAGAAAAGTTACCTTTTCCACTTGTGTGTTGCTCACAAATGTCTGAAAAAATAATTTATTTTTTGAAGTTTTCAGCAGACATGTAGAAGAGCATATACTCTTGTTTTAAAAACATGGTATTTACAGCCTTATGGATTGAGACTGGATAATCTTTGTTTACTGTTTAAGTGTTTTATGTAGGAATGGAAATTCCTGTACTGATGCAAATTCTTTTCTTGTGTTCTAGTATCTAGAGTCAGTTCGACCACTTATGGATGATGAAAAGTTCAAAAGAATGGAGGGTCTTGCACAAGATTTTGCTTTTAATTTGGGACCAAGGCTTCAGTGGTATTTGAAGCTAAAATCCTGGTGGGCCACCAATTATGTAAGTAGATAAATAGGAGGCTCAGTACTTCAAATTACATTATTTGTTCCCTGGTGCTATTTTTAGCTTAAACTCCATTATTTCTTAAATGTAAAAGAAGGAAATTGAAACTTCTTAATATTTTCTTTAAGTATGTGTGATTTTGCATATAAATAATTCATATGATTTGGTAAACAGTATGGTGAGCAAAGGTTAACGAAACTTGGAAAAATTAATCCTTTTTTTGTGTTTTGTTATTCTTGAATATTTTACTGTTATGATAGCTTTTGGGGTTTGTTTATTTGCTTGTTGAGCTTGATAACTCAATAATAGGCCTGGCTACCCAGGTAGTTTAGAAGAACGATTTAGAGCAATTTTTAAATAATATATAGAGCAGCTGAGGCATATATAAGAAAAATTAAGAGCTGTATCAATTGAGTTGTTGAGCTATCTTTTATTTTTTTTCCTTTTTTTCTTAACAAAAAAATCCAACCGTCAATATCATAGTGAGAACTGTAATGTCAATTCCTTCCTGATATATTATCTAATGTACTTTTACCCAGGTAGCCTAATCTGTTCTGGCAAAGGCTGTAAAGCATTCAGGAGATCTGGTACATTTTAAATATTATATGGAGATCATGACTTCTTTGAAACCTTATCAGAGAGATATAGCTGAATTTTATTTAGTTCTCTTACCCTTTTTTCCCCCTGTTTTCCCTGAAGTCTTATAGAAATTATCAGGGCGGGGATTACTGTCTTTTTACGTACTAGCAGTTTCCTTCTCGCTTCTGGATGGAATGTTGCCTTGTGGAGCCATCAATACAGAAGACATAAACTGTGGCAATGATGAGATTTTACTGCTTTTGTTTTCCTTCCTGCTGCAGGTTAGTGATTGGTGGGAAGAATATATCTACCTTAGAGGACGGGGACCAATTATGGTTAATAGCAACTATTTTGCAATGGTAGGTAAATCCTATAAACACCTTATGTTGCTTAGAAACTCTAGCATTTCTGGCAGGCATCTTACTTCATGGAGTCTTTCTGCTTAGAAATCCATTGCTACCGAGGATGTAACCTTTGTTTTTCTTTCTTCTGGTATAACCTGCAGCCAGTGTCTTCAGGTACCTTCAAGTGCGTCACATACTAAAGTTGTGACACATACACCTATCTTAACAAGCCTAGCACAGCTGCCACTTTGGCAAACCCATGCAGAAATTACTTAAACAGTTTTGTCCTGACTATAAAGAGCAATCCTCCAAAAGCTCCATGCAAAACTTCATGGGTAACACAGCTAAAGAACGTGTGTGCTCATACTAGCAAATGTATGTACAGGGAGTAAAATTATAAAAGACTGAAAATAAAAAAGTAAAAGATATGATGGTCTTGGATCGAGTTTTATCTAGTATTGTCTTTTCTATTCAAATGATTAATAATGTTTAAGGAGATTGTGACTACTGAAGAAAAGTTTCATCAGCTCACTGCACTTGTGCACTTCATAAATTTTAAAGCCTTTTCTACATTGTCCAAAACAAACTTTTAAGTACGTGGATGAGAAGTACTATCAGGTTTGGGGTTTTTTTAATGTAGTCTGGTAATCATTAACTTATGATTCTTATCTACTTTACAGGACTTCCTTTCTTTATATCCCACAACCCTGCAGGCAGCTAGAGCTGGTAATGTTATCCATGCCATCCTGCTCTATCGGAAAAAACTAGACAGACAAGAAATCAAGCCAGTATGTATATCAATTTAAATGGCTTTTGATCTTTTTCCAGCACAATCTGTGAGAAGCTGACCAGTTCTCAGAATGGGAGAGGAGAGGAATGTCTTACTCTTACGAATTTTTGTGGTCCAAATTGTCTTGGTTATGACTTGAATTGCACATGGGCAGAAACTACCAACTGTCAAAAATATACAATTGTATGGATACAATACAGAATGGTTGGGATAAAGGTCTGGAGGCCACCAAGAGTGGGCCAATGGAAGCTTATGATGATAACATCCTGTGTTGCATAATTTCTAGGATAGGCAAGTCCCATTTGAGTTTCTGTACTATCCAATGGCTGTGTATTGTAGTAAACAAATATTGTGGAAACAAGTTTTTTTCAAGATCATTGAAGGGATGTGGTTAATTGTACAGAACTACAAGTCTGAGAAATGTGAACTTTTGTTCCTACACAGGCATAAGTAGCTTAAAAAATTAATTCAGGGGTAATGCATGCTGCATGTCTAAGTTTTGCATCCAGACTACCCATGGGGAACTCTTTAGATTTCAGGTGCTAGCTAGCTTCAGTCTTCCCTCATGGAGGGTGAGTTTTTGGTAGAAGGGGAAAAAATAATGGTTCTGGAATATTCTCCATGTAGTTTTAAGGAAAGACCATGAACAGGGAGGAAAAAACTCAACACTACATTAATGTATTCCAAATCTTACTATTCTGAATCCTTTGTTTAACCAGATCCTGGAGTCTTTTCTTTACTTTTTAATTTTCTAATTGTATATGCAACATTACATTTTAATGTACATTTCCTTCACAGATTCTTTTGATGGGATCCACTGTTCCACTCTGCTCAGCTCAGTGGGAAAGGATGTTTAATACTTCCCGTATCCCAGGAGAGGAATCAGGTAAGCAAGGCCAGCCAAGGAAAATAAGCACCTTGATAGAATTCAGGGCTTGGAGTCTTTTCTACTGAAAATATAGTTTTCCAGATAAAGATCTGACTGGCACAAGTGTATATCAATACTGTGTTCCAGGACTCAGGATGTAATGGATTGCTGTAGAGTTCCTAGATATTTTTCATGTTAAGGAGATTTTAAAGTTTTTTTAGTGGTTTTTTTCCTTTACTTAAATTAAAAAAAACAACTGCAAGATAATATTCTGTCCTGTTTCTGAATTTGTAAATAATCTTTACTTATTTTTCCAAGCTCAAGATGATTTTTGAGGTCTTCATATTAGAAGTGGCATATTTTTGTTGCCTTTTTTTGTTTTTCCTAAGTTTCATCACTGTATGTGGAGTCAGATTCCATCTACAAGAGCTTATCATTTGTAATCAGCAGGTGGAAGAAAACATTGCTATTCATATCCTCACTCTTTGAGAGCTTCACAGCTGATTTTAGTGGAGACTTGTGCTGGTGTGTTTTCCTACAGAAGCTTAAGCTGTATCTAGGCTTCTCTGATCATGTCATATGCTGAAGAGTCTCTTAGAACTGATTTCACCTGTTTACCCAACAGTGCATCGTTGTGGCAGCATCACAGTGAAACAGGAGCAGGAGTTATTGTGTACTCACCTCCTTTGGGAATGCACGTACAGGCTGCCACTTGAAGACAGGATTTTTTTTTATGTTCTGTGAGGCTGTAACTCATTCTAATGTTTCAAACTGCCTTCAAACCTGTTACTCCAACTCAACTACAGAATTCAAAACAAAGAGTGTTTCTAAACAGGTGCAGGGATCTGCCCACTCTTCCCTGCTGGAGGGCTGACATTTGCTGTAAGGAGTTGGATAAGTGGGTGAAGTGATAGTGAGTAAAGCAGTAGGTGCATGTGCCAGATAAGGACTTTTCTCTCAGTTCTGCTGCTGCCTTTGCTAGATTGTTGAGGATTTTTTTTCAAGCTATGCCTCAGACAGCTTTATCTGCAAACTGAAGAAAAGGATATCCCTGGTGTCATTACTCTGTGTCATAACCAGTCGCTTAAATAGACGAGCAGGTTTTTAAATCTCTCTTGGACAACCTTAGTCTATGAGCTACTCTTATTTAGAATACTGCAGTACTTCAAGTACTGAGAGTGCAACCCTTGCTCCTTCCCTCTTGTCAATCAAATAAAAGGTATAAACAGTTTGCATTTAGCATTGGTTTTCTTTGAGTTAAAATGAGCTTTACACAGAAGCGTGGGAGTGGCTCATTCTTACTGGCACCTGATTAAAATACATCCTGTATATCTTAGTGGTTCTCCTCAGTTTCTCCTGTTTAAAGTATTTCAAATTAAACTACAGTCAATATAATAATAATGACTATATGTTCCTCCTAGGCTTTTCACATTTCCTATTACACTTTTTCCATTTTTCTTTGTTTCTGTTTTTCTAAAGGATGAACAATTGTGTCATTCTGTATATGTCTTCTTTAAAGTAAAAGCATTCTGTATATGTCTAAGTGAGTTCCAAAAACATTTTTCACACGTTCTCATAAGCAGCTTGACTCCTTATCCCCCGATTTCAATTACTTTATATATATTACAGTTGCTAAAGGGAAAAAAAAGGAAAAAATTGTCTTCCTATTATTGATGATAAAATCTTGATGACATTGTATCCTGTCACCTGAGCAGTTGTTAAATAGTCATGATTTTTGACAAAACATTCTGTGGAGTGAATGACTTCACCTGTGGTTTGATGCAAAGCCTTCATGACTAAATTTTGGCTTATCCCAGTTAAGCCAAGTAGATATAAAATGAGGCAAAAAATGTGGCCTAGTTTTCTGCTTCACATAACATTACATGTTTTGGCCATATATGGAATATTCACTGTGCATCTGCCAGCACAAATGTAGACAAAAGCTGGTGGTATAAATTTTGAGTTTCTTAAGATTCTCCATGAGTTGTCTAACACCTGAGTCCAAATGATTTAAAAATACCTTTCTAGATACTCATCTGGCATGTTCTTTGCTGGCTGCTTCATCAGACCACACAGCTAGTGCTCATTTTTCACATATAGAAATACAGATTTAGTTGCTTAATAGTGGCCTCCAGTGTGGAAAGGGATAGTGCTATATATGGAAATGATTGTCAGATCTGGGTATTTGACTGTTTCATGTGGGCATCTTTGTGAAGAAATACCATGGAGTGCTGAAATAACCTGTAGTGCATGCAATAGGCATCTGATGTTATTTAGTGCATTAGTGTTTTGAGAGTTCAGCTTTGTGTTCACATAAGTGATTACAATTCTAGATACCCTCCAGCATGTGAAAGACAGCAAACACATTGTTGTGTATCACAAGGGCCGTTACTTCAAAGTGTGGCTGTACCATGATGGCAGATTGCTGAGACCCCGAGAGATTGAACAGCAAATACAGAGAATTCTTGATGATGATTCAGAACCTCAGCCTGGTGAAGAGAAACTTGCGGCTCTTACTGCAGGAGATAGGTATGGTGGTTATTACTTTTTAAATAAGTTAAGTATTTAGAAATCATTGCATAATATAATCATTGGATATTGGCTTTAGAATTTTACAGTAGCCTTCAGTCAGTTGTTTGTACCTTGGTCAATGATGTTGTATATTGATAATGTGTAACAGTGCTTCAGTCACTTGTAATTTTGTGGAGTTTAAAAATTTTGCAGTGGCAATCCTATATGCAGATTATTATTTTTACTGTTGTCTTCTTCAGTATAATAGATACTTTCTTTTGTTTAGTTTTAAGTGTAGATGATCTATGCTGTAGGTATTGCATGTGCAGAAATGTTGAATTTCTGAGGATGAAGTTTTGCATGTGTATGATGATGAGTTGAATTGGTTCCTAGGATTCCACTGCACAAGTATTGTCAGAGCTTTTTCACAGCTTTCATAATTTAAATGCAAAGAAAGTAGCTTTGTCAAATTCCACAGAAGTAGGAGGAATGTCTCATAGTGATTTTAAAGGTAATCAAATATTGACAAATCTATGTAATCTGGCTATAAACCAATTTTTCTTTTTTTACAGAGTACCATGGGCTAAGGCTCGACAGGCTTATTTTAGCCGTGGAAAGAACAAACAGTCCTTAGATGCTGTTGAGAAAGCAGCATTTTTTGTGACATTGGATGACATGGAGCAGGGGTACAGGAAAGAGGACCCAGTGAGGTCACTGGATGCATATGCAAAATCACTGATCCATGGCAAATGTTATGACAGGTGCAGTATTGACACTGTGGAAAATGCCTTCCTATTTTTTAGAATTTGGCTAATGCATATGAATTAATGATAACTTTTAAATTGATAAATTCCTTAGAATCATAGAAGGGACCTTCATCTAGTTCCAACCCCAACAGAAAGGGACAACTTTCACTACATCAGATTGCTCAAAGCCCAGTACAACCTGACTGTGAACATTTTCTATGACAAGGCATCCACAACTTCTCTGGACAATGTTGTTCCAGTGTCTCGCCAGCCCACTGTAAAAAATATTTCTCCATTATAACCCATCTAAATTTACCCTCTTTCAGTTTATATCTGTTGCCCCATGTCCTGTCACTATGAGCCATGATAAGAAGTCTTTCTCAGCTTTTCTTATAAACCCTCCTTATATATTGAAGGGCTGCAAGAACGTGTTCCTAAAGCCTTTTCCAGACTGAACAACAAGCCCAACTCTCACCCTTTCTTCACAGGAAAAGTATTCCAGCACTCCTGCTATTTTCATGACTCTCCTCTGACCCAGATAACAATTCCACATCCTTCTTGTGCTGAGAACCTCAGAGCTGGACACAGCTCTCTAGGTGGGATCTCACCAGAGGGGAGCAAAGAGGCAGAATCCCCTCCCTCACCCTTCTGACCAAGCTGTTTCTTAAGCAGCCCAGGACGTGATTGGCTTTCTGGGCTGCAAGTGCACCTTGCCAGCTCATGATGAACTTTTCATCCCCAAGTCCTTCTCTGCAGAGCTGCTAAATCCATCATGCATCAGTCTGTTGATACTGGGCATTGCCTTGACCCAGGTGCAGAGCATTGTAGTTAGCCTTTTTGAACTTCACAAGGTTCAAACTTCTGTCTATTTAAATGTTCTTAAATAAAAAAGGATAAATTTTAGTGCATTTGAATGTGAATTTTGGAGAGAGAGGAAGTTACAGTACAAAAATGCTTTTGAAATGTACAAAACCATAAAGAAACCTTGATTTCTTTTGTAGGTGGTTTGATAAGACATTCACTCTTATAGTATTCAAAAATGCCAAAATGGGTCTGAATGCAGAGCACTCCTGGGCAGATGCTCCTATTGTTGGACACCTGTGGGAGGTAGGTGTTTGGCACAAAGAGCTAATGCAGAAAATAATGTGGTATGGGCCTGAAGCAGCCCTGAAGGTCAGCAGCAACTTTCAATCCCTTGCATTCACGTTGTGGGCCTTATGTCTACAGCAACTGTAGAATTTGAAAAAGATCCCAAACCCTTGCTTAAGAAGCTGCTGTTTTTTAAAGGACAGCATTTTAGTAAGCTTAGATGTCTTCACAGAAAAGTGATACAGCTCCCTAGCTATCTTTTCTTTAATGTTTAAAATCCACAGATTATTGCCTCTTTGATATGGCATTGGATTTTTTGTATGTACATTCTTCTAAAGCTCTTAAGCTTTCTTGTGCTATAAAACTCCCATGCTTACTTTTAAAATTTAAAAAATTATACACAGTTTAAATTTTTGTCCAAGCATTGTTTGCTAAGATGCAGACTGATATGCTGTTGATGTTATCTCTTGTATTTATTTGCCATGAATGCAATAAATTCACTTTGCTTTGCATTCATTGTATGCATAGTTTAATTCTTGAAACCCTGTTTGACTTTTTTCCTTTTTTGTTTTGAAGCTTAAACCTGCAAACAGTTACGTGACTCAAATCAATTAAAACTATTTCAAAAAACATTTGATTTTGATTTTGTATGTATTTGTGCAAATGGGTCTTGAGTCTAGCTGGTCCCTCAAGTAATTTCTGAGTTTTTTTATAGAAGTGGTGCCTTGTCTATAAGGACAAAAAAATAGGCTTCATTACATGCTCCACTCAGGGAAGAAAGAAGGTCAAACTGATTTGAGATGCAAATGCAGTGTAGACTATCTCAATGAATGAGGGATACTTAATTTGCTTTTAGTGAATGATATTATATGCCTAATTCATGTATCTGTATTTCATATTAGTTGGTATATTTTCTGCTAAGAATTAAGATGACTGAAATAAGATTTAATTTTCTAGAAAGTTGTCAGTTGGTTCTTTTCAGATTTCTATGTTTAGAATTGAATGGACTAAGCTTTATTTTATAGTTTTCACTTACTGGTCAGAACATGACATGAGAAAATAAAATTAAAGTAAGAGATCAGGAATAAATCATCACAATTTTTCTTTCCATATTGAGCAGATTCAAATCTTTTGGTAATTCTTTGTATTTGTATGTGGGATGGTTGTTTCTGGATGCTTTTTTAGCATTGAGGATGCTTGATATCTTCTAAGACAGGGCCTTTTATATCTTTTCAAGTTGGGTTGTTCATCTTGGAAAGATGCTTCTTTCCCACCAGGAGTTCTAGTGCACGTGTAAAATAAACTGCAGTTTTGAAAGGGATACAAATCTTTAAAATAATTGCGTTCTTACACCTACTCTGAAATAAATTATTCCTTGATGAATAAGCTTTGACAAATAACAAACTTGAAGAAATTCTCTAGAATATAATTTGAAGAAAGATAGTGAAGTCTAAGACTGAATTGAGTTTTTTACTTCTATTTAGTTTGAGGTGGGTTTTGAATTGAAAAGGTTTTTATTAAATCAGTAGCATCTAACAAAATGCACCAGTGTAACTGAATAAATGTTTGGTGCACATCTGGGTTCTTGTAAAACTGGGGGCTTCACTTGCAGTTGTTTTAAGTATTTGGAAATGGATTGTATATTTTATTTCACTATGTAGTGAAAATAGGTTATATTTCTTTCACAATGAAATCCTAATTCCATGACAGTAGTAATGTGTTGAAGAAGTTCTGAAGCAATTCTGAAGCAGTATCATTCTTTGCAGAATGTGATGGCAACTGAGTGTCTTGAACTGGGCTATTCAGTAGATGGGCATTGCAAAGGAGATACCAATCCAAATATTCCCATTCCTACCAAACTGCAATGGGACATTCCAGAAGAAGTAAGTACATAAGATTTAGTGGTATGAGAAAGAAACGTCTCTTTTCCCCAGTGGTCAAATCATTTATGTAATTATTGATAACCCTGTAAATCAGTTCTAAATTCCTTTGAGTCCTGTAGGTTGTGTACTTCATGTTGTAGCCATTACTGAGTTTGCTTAGAAAATCAGAGGATTTTGATCTCAGTCTTTAAAAATTCTGACTGGGAAATGCCTACATTTTTCTAGAAGCTTTTTTGGTTGGCAGTATATATAAGTGGCCACCTCTTTTAAATAGTGACTGCATTAAAAAAAATGTTTACTTGCCGAGGTTTCATTACTGTTGTCACAACAAATATTCTTGTGTAATAGTTCCTTTAGAATAGTTGTCTTTTTTTTGTGTTCATCTAATAAGATTTGATTTTTCTAAGTTGTTTCTTTTTTTTTTGCCTTGAGTTTCCAGAAAAACTGCCACCACCTATTTGGATTTAAATTTTGAATAAAGCTAATGGTTGGTGATGTATTTAATTAAGCATGTATGGGAGCTTGGAAGCCACATTACTAATGCCATTCTGTAACTGTAGGCCATTCTTTTATATTCTCCTGATCTGAACAGTTTTAATCCTGGTGGGTTTTATAAGAGTTATTTTTGGATGTGTACTATTTTATAATTAGTTTTTTGAATTCTAACTTTCTAGCAAAGATGTAAAGGAAAATTATTTAGGTAATGATGTTCCTGGCATGCATAAAGGCAAGCATTTCCTGTTTAACAGTTAAAAATACTTGTACTTTTTCAATAGTTCTCTCAAATACCATGAATACCTGTTTATATACATACAGGTGTGTGTTTGTTTGTTTGTTTGTTTAAGTGCCAAGAAGTGATTGAGAAGTCTCTGAGCACTGCTGTGGCTCTAGCAGATGATGTGGACTTCTGTTCATTTTATTTTGATACTTTTGGGAAAGGACTAATAAAGAAAGTGAAAACCAGCCCTGATGCCTTTGTGCAGCTTGCCCTGCAGCTCGCTCACTATCGGGTAAGAACAAACTGTTTCTGCCTTACAGAGCCTCATTAGGCTGGGTGCAACATGTTTGTGACTAAAACATGACTGTGTAGAGTGATCTTGCACTTGCTTTGTACAAGGTTGGTAATGTGCTGTCAGAAAAGAGCAGTGTAGCAACATTTAGCTTCTCTTATAAACAGAAGAAGGTTGAATATGAAATGCGCAGTGTAGTCCTTGCTAGTCTGGTTGTTCTGCTAGTGTTTATCAAATCCTGCTGCTAATCTTATTTTTGCCTTTATTATCTTCAGGTCAGTGGGCTAATGGTGGGCTACTGAAAACTTAAATGTTGAGTTTAATTTGTGGAGTGATTCATAGCCTGTGTGCTTAGCTTGGACTGTTGATTAAGAAAGAGAGGCCAAGTCTATCTAAACTTTTAAGTTCTTATTTGTCCCTTTTTCAAGGATATGGGAAAGTTTTCTTTAACGTATGAAGCGTCCATGACGCGCCTGTTCCGAGAAGGCAGGACCGAAACGGTTCGTTCCTGCACGGTTGAGTCCTGTCGTTTTGTCCAAGCCATGGAAGACCCAACTGAAAATGTAAGTTCATGGTGCTGGTGCCTTGTGCAATTGAGAGAGTAGGTTTGGATTGGGTTCTAGGAATAAATTTTCACTGTTAGGGTGGTGAGGCACTTGGACAGGTTGCCCAGAGAAGTTGTGGATACCCCATTCCTAGCAGTGTTCAAGGCCAGGCTGGATGGAGCTCTGAGCAACCTGGTCTAGTAGAAGATGTCCCTGCCCATGGCAGGGAGGTTGGAATGAGATGATCTTAAAGGACCCTCCCAACCCAGCCAATTTAAGAGTCTGTGATAATTCATAGGGCACTAGGCAACCATGTAACTCTCCAAACAGTTTTTAAGCATTTAGAGTTATGCAGTTTTTTTAGGAAGGAAGAGCTGCTTAAGGTCTCTGTTTCTGTCAATAAAGAAGAAAATCTGGGCCATACCAAAAGAGAATGGCAGAACTTAGCCAAGTATAACCTTATTTACCTGTATCTGAACTCCAGGAAACTCTGATTACTTGTGAAATTTTTGTGACTTATAAAACTCAAACATAGATTTGTAGAACAAGTAATCTCATACCTTAATCTTAACCTCAAAGTAATCTCAAATCTTAATCTCAGTTAAACTTTCCTTTCTGAAAGGGAAGCAAGAATAAGTCACAGGAAGGAAGTAGTTGCTCCTATATGTTGATTTTGATGACCAGCATTTATGAACCTCTGTACTTTAAGTGTTGCTCTGGCAGTTTTTCTTAAATCACGTTGAGATTTGCTCTCTATAAATCTTTAAGAGCGGTATCTATAGAAACTATAAATAATGTAGTAAACTTGAGTTGTAACTATGTTTGATTGTAGGGTTAGATAACACTTAAAATACAAATTAGTTTTCATTATGCAGTTTACAGCAGGTAATAGCAGACACTTGCTACTACCTGAAATTAAATACACGAGGTTGAAAAGCTATTGGAGGTCAGTTGTCTTGTACTTGACCTTTAAGTGCTCAAGGCTTGAGAGTCCTTGCTGTAACTTAGTTTCTGCACCTTCATCCATAATGCAGTTCACTTAACTGAGTTTTCTTAATCTTTTTTTTGTTTTGGTTAGAGAGAAAACACGCTGAAGTTCTTCCGGCAGGCAGCTGACAAACATCAGCTCTTGTATCGCCTTGCCATGACCGGGGCTGGCATTGACCGCCACCTCTTCTGCCTTTACATCGTGTCCAAGTACCTCGCTGTAGATTCTCCTTTCCTCAAGGAAGTAGGTGGCTTTTGTTGATAACTCTTCATTGCTGTAAACAGTCCTTTGGTGAGTTCGTGTTTTTGTGGTATCTGCTCAAGATACTTGTACAGCTCTGCTTTTCTTAAGAAAAAAGGTAAAATTGCAGCTAGTGCTGTTTAACATCTGCTGATATATTGTTGAGTTGGTTTCATTTTCCTTTATGTATACATTTGTTGATAGACCTAGAAGAATGCTTTCAGTGAGCTTTTTAGCATAATACATGTTACTTAGAATTGCAGGAAATACATAGTATTGAAGAAAAAAATTTTGCATGTGGGTTTTATTTTCAAGGGAGTACAACAGAGGCTGTTTTCTTTGAAAATTTTCTTGTGAAACTGACAAATTCCTTTAAAGTTACTAAGAGTTAAAGGAGCTGTATATGGCATTAATGTCATTGTATATTACTCTGACATTATCAATTAAACTAGATTTTAAGGTTGGATGTTAAAAAAATAATTACACCACGCTTCCTCATTTTTTCTGGTTAATAAAAAATGTCTTCCAGCGTGACTCATAATTAAGCTACTTACATTTGTCTGCTTGCTCTCCTAAATATGATGAAGTCAAGAATAAAATAACTTTCTACAGTTTCCACAGACTTTCAAGATCTGTTGTAAGAGATTTTACAAGCTTCTTACTTGATGTAGGATCTTCCTGGGATTTGAATATGACTAGTAATTGTCTTGTTAAAACAAGACATTTTATGTGTAAGTTACAAGGCTGTAGACCAGGTAATCTTGTTTGAAGTAGTATTTCTGTTGAAATCCTATTTTATCCTCTTTGAGGAATTGACATCACTTCCTCATATGTTAATGGTTTCCATATCAGGACAAGTTTAACTGTTTCATTTAAGCTTCTTAGTTTTTCAGTCCATTGAAATGAGAGGTATCTTTAATATTGCTTTATAAAGTGTTTTCTGACAGTTTATAAAGCAATATTGCACTTGTTACAACACTTGCTGTCTTGACTAGTTTTTGAGAAAGTTGCACCATCTTAAACAGAGTTTTCTATTTGTTTGCATCTCTTTCATATATAATTAAGGTTTTGTCAGAACCTTGGAGGCTGTCAACAAGTCAGACACCCCAGCAGCACATTGATCTGAAGAAGAACCCGGAGATGTTATCCTCTGGTGGAGGGTTTGGACCGGTATGTTTCCTAAATACAAGTACCCACTAAAGAGTTTTACTTCCAAGACCCCAGTCAAAAAATTTCAGATCTGTAATCCCTCATTGTTGCATATCAGAGGTGTAACTCATGCTTTTAAATGCATGTACCTAATACTTTCCCATGATGTAGCTGTGCTCAGAAAAATCTGTGCCACCTTTTTCTAGTATCCCACTACGAGAAGTGATTATTCTTAAAGAAATACACAGTTATGAAATGTGGTACAGGGCTCCATGGCAAAGAGATCTGATGAAGCTGAGTTCTTATCACATTGCCTATGCCCAGATCTTCTGTACATCAGGCTTTTATTACAGTGACAAATGCCTTATTATTTAGACTAGATTTTAAAGTTGGGATTTGTAAAAGTACTTATACTTTGATTATTTTTTTATTTCCTGTTTGATGAATAAATGTGTTCATACATTCCTCCATTGTTCTGCTTGCTTTCCTAAGTGTGAATAATGGCCAAGTCAAGAATACAGTCATGTGTCTATGGCTTCTTAGACTTTCAGGAAACCAGATACAGCTTTCAGCACTTCTTGAAGTTGGAATTAATTTGACTTGAAGTATCAAGGTGGCTTGGCTGTGGCCATACTGTTCATTCTTGAGATACTGACTTCCTCAAGCCAGTATAAAGTCAGTATTCCGAATGCCCAAAAGGCAATAGAAAAGGGTTTTGGCTGCAGGGATTTCTAACAGTTTTCCTTTTGTTTTTGTTTACAAAAACTGTGCTTTGGTTTGCTGTATTAGCCCAGAGATTCAGTACATCAGTTTTCCATGCATGTGGTTTTTATTGGTTTTAAAGGGTTTTTTTTAAGCATTCCGTAGAGTTTATCTCTGTAGCACTAACAGTGAGAAGAGTGAGAAGATTGTCAGACTGCTTAGCAGCAGTGGCAGCAAGGACATGGAAGATTGTGATCCTTTGAGTTAGGAAAGACATGAAGAGGGGTGATATCAGGATAATCTGTGCTAACCAGGCATAGTTTCAATATAACATCAGTCTGAAACATGGCACAGTTAATGCTACTAATGTTTAAATTGGACCAGATCACTGCTCGTGATGCAGGTGTTCAGAATCACGTTTGCTGTAGAGTCAGAAGAGAACTTGCATTTGGCAAGTTTTTGTAATGCAAGGCTTTTACACTGTGTTTGTTTACATCTGCAGAATGATCCCAGGAGGCTGATTGTTTAGGTTACAGCTGAACTAAGTTATTCCTTGCTGCTTAAGCACTGAAGCTGTATAGCTGCTTAGGACCAGGACTTTCTATTGTCTTTCTATTTAAAAAAAGATACCTCAATAACTATTTTATTTCAAACTATTAAAGCTGGGAAATATTACAGACAAATATTCAGAAAATGGCTATTCCATGCACTTCAGATGAGACTAGAACTATTCCTTAAGTGGAGCCAATCTTCAGAAATTATGCATTAAATATAGAAGTTGAAATTTTACTTGAGGAAATTACAACTGATTTTAAAAACTGCAACAACTTCTTAATTGTACATAAGTTGATTGAGAATGAAGGAGAAACAAAAAGTTTAGAACATGTTTTTCTCTTCTTTCTTCCCCTAGGTGGCTGATGATGGTTATGGTGTTTCTTATATTATATTGGATGAAAATTCCATCCACTTCCATGTCTCCAGCAAAATATCTTGTTCTGAGACGGTAAGAGTCAGTCCATTCCTATGGTTTAATAAATCTCTTCTGCTGTGTGCTTATAGAACTGTTTTACTCATTGTCTAAAATAATGTGTTTTTTCTTTCTCAATATATTCTGCTTTGTTGGAGTTTTTTGTCGCCAGTTGTATAAATTTAATAGTTTCATGAGCCAATAATACCATATTCTATTTCACTTACACTTTCAAGCATAAAAAAAACCACGTGGCGCAGGATCATCTTTACACAGGTGCAGTTCCCTGCAACTCATGTGAAATGATCATATGTGTCCCCTAAACAGAAAGATGGGCTTATCTTGGTTTTTCTAATTACAATTTTGATTGGCTTGTCTCAGGCTGCAGCTGTAAAGACAGAGTAAAATGGTACCTATTTAAGCTTTCCTGGTTTAAGTAATACTGAATGAAGCTGACCCATAAATTATAATCTGTGCTTAAGAAATAATTAATCAAAAATTTATTAAAATTACACCCATTATTTGAGGATAGTACATGTCATATGTTGAATATGCTGCTGTTGTGGAGGACTGCTTTGAGTTCAATTCATCCTTCCCTTTTATATTTTTATGGCCTTACTAAATATGCTGAGTTCATTCAGGGTTACATAGCTGACCTAGATTTCCTCTTTTGACCTTAACTTGTCCAGGAGATTATAGTGCTTCTGGTTAATCATTAAATATTAGGAAATACAACTTTGTTTTTTTCATAGTTGAAATTGTTCTTCAGATGCCTGTTAGCTTGTACTTTAAATTTCACTTTGTTCTTTTTACTTATCAGACAAGTCAAAGGTCCATATGGAAAAGGTAGCCATTTTGTGTGTGTGGCATTGATATTAGTAGGGTCATTGAAGTAGATCCTGTAATGTAGCTAATAATTTATATTTGTAATATTAATTTCTTTCTTGTACCATTCATCTAGTGCTTAGAATAAACAGAGCGAATTCCTGTTTTGTTTACACTTAGAAAGTTGTCATTTTCATTCCTAATTCTTTTTTCAATGCCAAATGATTCAGCATTTCTGATAGGAACTCAAAAATAATTTTTCTGCTCTTTCAGTACTTCCTAGTCATTAGTCATCCACTCACTGAACACTCCTTTGTTTTCTGGAAATGAGCTTTTGCAAAATCTTGTAGGAAAAGCAATATCAAAACCCTGCAATTTTAAAGTAGCAGAAAGCTATGCATGCATCTGATTTCAAAAGGATATGATCCCATTTCTGACTGTAGGAAAGTAAACACATAATGAAGAACTCATTGGTCAGTACTAGCATAAACCTGGATTAATTTGTAAGCTTTAAAATTTCTGTTATTAAAATCCCCATTGTATGGTAAAATAGATGCCTGAATTCCAGAAGCTCCAAAACTACAATATATTAGAAAGTTTCTTCTTTTGCCTGAAAAATGTCTGTTGATGGACAGTACAAGTATTTGGTTTTGGTTTTTGTTTGTTTTTTAAAGGATTCTCATCGCTTTGGAAAGAACATTGAGAAAGCAATGGTTGACATCATGGCTTTATTTAACCTTAGCAAAAACTGTACAAAGTGATCTGCTTTCTTGATGCCAAGCAATCTCCTCTTGGTGGGATGAGAACTCTTCTGCACAGTGAACAAGGCAAGGTTTGTTGAAGAGTAGCTGGAGAAGAAACTGAGTCAGCACCTTCTTGATCACCTATTAAAACCTTAGCAGTATATTAAATGTGTCTTTTTTGTTGTGGTTTTTGGGATTTTTTTTTTGTCAGTAGTATGGAAGAACTTACTTTGAGAAAGGATGACTTCTAAAATCTTCTATATTTCTTGGGAGGAAGCATAGTGCCATTGCACGAGGTCATGTATTTTCTAACTTTCTGCAGTTTTCTCTTAATTTGCATACACTTTCTCTTTTTTTTTAACTTTAAATTAGTTTATTTGTTTCCAGAATCAAAGGGATAAAACACACCAAGTTAAATACTAGAAAATTTAGATTTGCTATGTATTAATAGCAGAATGTTCTTCAATGTATCTGCTGCTTTATGTAAATGAGTGACAAAACTTGTGCCATTTGCCTTCCTTGGTTTCTTTTTAGAGGTAAATTCTGTAAAACATACCAAAAAATCCCTGCTGTAACCCACCTTAACACACCAAGTTGTAGAAATGTTATGGTTTTTGAAAAGAAAAAAAAAAAAAAAAGAAACCCAGCCACTGGATAGTACAATGTGCCCCCTCATTGGCAGATACCACATTTTTCTTACTGCTTACAAGCCTGTTCGTGACATTGATTTTATTTCTGTATAAATAAATGGACCTGTGTGCTTGTTCATGCAAGTGCCTTAGATAAACAAAGATCCTTAGCCCAGGGAAAAGGCATATGCTGGGAGTGGTTTCAGTAGTGAAAAAGGAAAGGTTGTAGTAATGCAGATCTGGTTTTCAAATTACAAATTGGGATGAAGTGGCATAAGCAGACGTGAATATGTTGCCAAATGGTGCAGTCAGGTTTAAAATTCTGATGAAATGTTCCTGTCATAAATTGCAAAGGTCGGCCCTTAGGGAAGGGCAGGACTGACTTTGTTTGGGATGAACAGATATATTCATGTGTATGTTTTGGTGAGTGGAATTGGTGGTCACTCGGGTTTCTGGGTCCTGGGAGGTGTTGAGTTGAATGGAGCCTGTTGGGAAGGCTGCAAAGCAAGGCTGCCCGTGTGGGCTGGTTGCAGTTTGCCTGGAGGGACCACTGCTGCATGGCAAGCTGCTAAAGCCTTGGGAAATAGCCCCAGAGTGGGAAAATCATGGCTTTCACAAACCCCTCCTGGGAGATGCTCTTGCTCAAGCAGTTGCTAGAGGATACAGGGAGGGAGAGGAAAGCTTTTTCACTCAAAAAGGAGCATGGTGTTTCCAAGTGCAGCAATAAAATGGCTGCTACCAAATGGAGCAACTTTTGCACGATGCTTCTCTTCCCCAGGCTTTATAGGTGTGGTACCTTTTTTACATCCTGCAGTGCAGTAAAGTGTACTTGTTAGCACAACCTTTTTTTTATTATTATTATTTTATATAAGGTACATGATGGTTACTAATATGGTGAATGATGCTCCTGAGCTCTGCTGAGTTTAAAAGACCCTTGGGGTGGATATAAAACTTCTCATGAGACTTTGAATGTTTTTCTGGCCAGTATTTCTAACTTTCTATGCCTCTTCATGCTTATTTTTACTTTGATCTAGCTATTAAAACACCTGTGTGTGTATGCTTGGGCTGAGAACCCTCAAAAATCCAAGATGCATACTTAAGCAACTCTATGCTTACATAAATGTGGGAGTCCTCACAGGAACTGATCAAAGACATTCAGTATTTGATTAGGGTATAGTGAGTGGGAAAGGACACTTTGAAATAAGCCTTACTGCATCTGGCAGGCCTGGCACTTATCAAGCTACTGCAACAGTTTTATAGTGATCTATTTTTAGAACTGCAGAAATGATGCACTGGGGGTTTTGGGGGTTGTTTTTGGTGTTGGCTTTTTTTTTTTTTTTTTTTTTTTTTTTTTTTTTTTTTTTTTTTTTTTTTTTTTTTTTTTTTTTTTAATTGACCACTGATCAGTCTGTTTAAATTAACATGTTAGCTTTTAGGATCTCCTTTAAAAAAAAAAAAGTTTAGATTTGACTCTCAGGTCTTACGTGTTTCTGGTCTAATTGTAGCTAGTGCAATTTTGCATTCTTGGAGAGTAAGTATGATTGGCACAGAAAGCTGGTTTTTATTGTAAATGTTTAAAATGTTTTGTGCTGTTAAATGTATCTTTTCAAATTTTGGAATAGATGTAGTTCCTGAACAGATAATATTTTATTTCTTGTTCTTTAAAATGTCAGCAGCATGTAAATAAAATATGCTTTTTGGATGTAAATCTTAGAAATCCACAGTGAATGTAGGTTATTAATAAATAATTTAAATCTTGTTGTTCAATATTGTGTACATACAGTAAAACTGCTTGGGTTTTTTTTGCTCAAAGCCATAGGAATGTAACTGAAATTACTTAGATTTAAATGAATCTTCTAGTACAGTTTATTTTATTGTAAAGTTAAATGTGCATATTCCAGTAAAACTACTAATTTGATACTATATCCTTGAATCATTGATTCTCAATTAATGATTTAGGAGATCAAACTTAGGGTTGAGGAGGTGGCTAAGAGCCAGGTTGGATGATAATAGTTTTTTCTGTTTATGAAACAGCAGTGTTGAATTGGTGGGATATACCTCTAGTGAGCATTTTTCAAATTTATTATTTCATCTCTTTCATGGCAGAAGTTAAGAAAGCATGGAGTCCATCTGCAGGACTCCATTGTTTGGGATTAATACTGTTCCCCTCTGAATATTCTTTTAAGGCTTGAGGCTTTTGAGGGACTAGGGAAGTGTGTGCCTGACCTTGAAAATCATGGTTCTAATTCAGCCTTTGTACCAATTGTTGTCTCATGTAAAATGTATTAATTTAAGGTAGCAGACTTTTTTTTATCTTGTTTAGTTACTTTACATCTGTTGTTAGTTGTTTACATCCAACACTTTTGTCTCTATTTTCTACTTAATTCTGTGACTTCAAAAAACAAAATAAAATTTCACAATTACCACTACTTAGAACAATGTTTAGTATCTTTTATATCTTCTTCCCAGCTCCCTTGCTGTAGTCTCTTGAAATCAGGACTTGTGAAACCATTGTTGTTAAATCCAGTTAGGAACAGTAGCAGTGAAGTGTTCCGTTTATTTTAGCAGTGATTTAAACATGTGTTCTAGTAAATAGGGAATGTGTTAATGAACACATTTAATTCCCTACAAGGAATTTCATCTCCCAAAGGAGCTGAACATGCGGATTCACCCTTGTGTGCCATCAAATTGTGTCCACTTTCTTTTTTCTGTAGTGATGCCACATAAGAATTTCAGTGTTCCAGCTTCAAGCATTCTCTGTCCAGAAGGAACAGTCATAAGATAATAAAGACATGATCAGGTGGAACAGTTGCTTTCTTGAAAGTTGGAAGACAATGAAAGTTTGTTAATCTCTGTACCAGGAGCTAAAAATTAAATTTAGAAAAATCTTTCTGACCAGCTTGCTTCCTTACAGTTTATCACACTATATATGAATGTTTCCTTCCTTTGCCTTTTTCTTAAAGGTATTAGAGCAAAATTCTGATCAGGTGAAAAAGATTTGTGTTGAAGTAAAGCTGATTGCTTGCTTACCTTCCTAAACTGCTCTCTATGTAAGGAGGAAGCACAGCACACACAGGTGGAGAGCAAATTGTCAAGTTCAAAGAAATTCTAATTTGAAACTAGAAAACTCTGCTGTAGCTGAGTTTTCTGTCTTTGTTCCATTTTCTGTTTGGTTGGTTTACTTTGAAAACAGAAATGTAGGTATTAAATGTGATGCTATTATAGTTGTGAATGCACTGAACAGAAAAAACAAATAATATTCAAAATATGTAACAGTATCTGGTAATGCTGAACAGGCCACAGCATTTATATGCCTTGGTATGTCATGAAAATATATGCAGCTTCCCATTTTAATGTCACCAAGTTGTGGGTTTTGTTTGGTCATTTGGCTTTTTAAAAACTAATTGTTTAATGCACAAAATAGTAAAAGTTTCTTTTCTTCAGGTGTTCATATCATTCCTATCTCCAGTTGCAGGTAAGAATAAATGTTTTTATTTCAAAGACATCAAACACCCAATCTGTTTCTCCTAGCAAGTCTTTTACTGAAAAAAAAAAAAAAAGTATTATTTCTTTCAGAAGAATGTAATGCTGCAATGATGTCAAAATCTTTTACTGATGCTGCAAGGGAGTTCACTCATCTTTTTATAACCAAGACATGCATTATTTTATGTACTAGAATTTGCTCAGTGATATCTGTGGTTTACTTCAGACTTGTGCTTCTGTGTATGATTAAGCAGTAAGTATGCAGGCAAGGTTTTATGCTAATTGGAATAATCTGTCCAACCATTGACTGTCTAAAATGGGCTTTATTCTAAGTGCCAGAGGGTAAGAGGTGCTTTCAAACACTGTCCTATCTGATTTGCTCACAAATGAGAGGCAAAGAAAAATGTTGCTCTATAGATAACCTACATTGTGGAGCAAGGCAAAATGGCATCTGGAATTTTTGCCCATTTCTGGTCCTCAAGGCTCAAGTCTGATTGGCTCTTTCCCCTTGAACATTCTGATTCCAGCTCAGGACTTAGGAAGGGATCTTCTCCTAAGGCCACCTGAACCCAAACTGCCAAGTGGGATTGCACCAAATAACCTTGGGCAGCTGATTCATTGGTATTTGAGCTTTTTTCCCATTTGCAGTGTATGTATAGGAACAGGGCTGAGTATTCAAATCTGCCTCTAACATCAGCATCCCCTACCTATGCAGAGATGTTCTTTACAACTTAATTATTCTCTTAAAATTCTTTATCAAATATAAAATCCATACTCACATATAAATTCCAAGGTATGTGCAAGACAAGTTATAGAAGTTTGGGCTTTTTGTGAAAGATTTTTCTGAAAGGTACTGGAATTTTGTAAACAGGATTTTTAAGGTTGTCTATTCAGAGGTCAAAGTGTGTACTGAGAGCAGCAAGGCTTAATCTAGAAGTGTAACTTTTGGGAAGATGACAGTGTAATCATAGAATCGTAGAACATGCTGAGTTGGAAGGGACACGTCAGGATCATCAAGTTCAACTCCTGGCCCAGCACAGGACACTCCAAGAATCCCACCCTGGGCCTGAGAGCATTGTCCAAACACTTCTTGAGCTCTGTCAGGTTTGGTGCTGTGACCACTTCCCTGGGGAGCCTGTTCCAATGCCCAGCCACCTCTGGGTGAAAAATCTTTTTCTAATATCCAGCCTAAACCTGCTCTAACACAGCTTCAGGCCATTCCCTTGAGTCCTGGCCCTGTGCACCAGAGAGAAGAGATCAGTGCCTGCCTCTCCTCTTCCCTTCAGGAGAAAATTGCAGATTGCAATGAGGTCTCCCCTGTCTCCTCCAGGCTGAACAGACCAAGTGACCTCAGCTGCTCCTCACACAGCTTCCCCTCAAGGCCTTCACCATCCTCATGGCCCTCCTTTGGACAATCTCTAATAGCTTCAGCTCATTTTTATATTGTGGCACCCAAAACTGCCCCCAGCACTGGAGGTGAGGCTGCCCCAGTGCAGAGC